CAGTTCTCTTCGAAGCGAATATCGATTAGTCTATTATTCGAAACTACTATTCGAAATTTCGACTTTTCACACAAGCCTAATATATGCACATGAATTGTAAGTGATTAGTTGAAAGGCAAGGTACTCAAATTAGTTAAGAAAACCACATCAGCGATTTCACATTCGGCAGTAAAACCACTTTCACATTCGGCAGTAAAACTTATGCATTATACCAGAAGCAAACTTGTACTTCTCGAGGTGGTGTTGAAGGGTCCTTTCTGAAGGCAATGGCTGCCCAACATCCTTCACAAGGGTGTTCCCTTGAGATCCGCAGGCAAGACGAATCTTAAAGGGATACTGAACTGCAAAATCGGGTCGACGTTTTTGGTCTTAATCACAATAAAGGCACATCATTTAATTTTTACTGGCGCTGTTAAAGCGAAAATACGACTAAATTTTAATAAACTGGAAAATAAGCATTTTAAGGTGCCCCTGGTGAGCGTTTCCGGAACCTCGCTTCGTGACGTGACAGACCTCAGAGGCCTCGCGCAGCTGTCTTAGAAGACGCGGAGAATCATAACTTTGTTGGTTTGCTGTGACCTGTAATGCGTCTACCTCGCGCTCGGTGGCGTGGACGATTGTTATGGCGACAAGCGAGAGCGCCAAGAGCGGCAGCAGTAGCTATAGCGGGAGCACCTGCCAACGAAGAGGCGTAAGGTGTTGCCTTACGCCTGCGACCCGTCCGTGACGTCGGACAGCAATGAAACTTCACCGGAGCCAGCAGCGGAGTCCTCATCTGACGTTCTGCCGCAAAATGACAGCTGCGGCGGCTACGCAACACACGCTGGTCAGAACACGCGCACATGGCGCAGCGTATGTCTTGCATAGGCTCGGGAGAGCGATTGTTTTGGGGTTGCGCGAAGTTCACTTGCAGCCTCGAAGAACCAATGATAAATGGGGTTTTATATATTGTGAGGTGTACTAGCGACTAACATGCTCTTGGTATCGCCGAGCGGCGGCGAGTAAGCTCCAACCTCAACTTATCGGTCCCATCGCTTGGGCCAGAGAAAGATCCTTTTGCTCAAAACTGTCAGTGCTAAGGCAGGGCTACCCGTGCACCTGTCCCGCGTAGGTGCGTTAGAAATTCAAGATGCATCAGCTGCGTGCGGGCTTGAACCTGCACGTAGTGCCGGTACACCGTCCAAGTAATCACGTGCGTGTTTGCCCAATGCTGGGCCCCAGGTTGGGCGCTCAAGTTCTTGTGGCATAGGCAACACTGCTTTTTTGCGGCCCTCTATGCCTGGGTCAAAGCTTCCGGAATATGAATAAAGTATTACTATTATTATACGCAAAAATGCAGCTGCTGTATAGTGACTGCATCGCGGTTGTGGATACTCCCAAAAGGCATCCGAGGCTTGAGCAGTGTTTGGGTGACACAATTGGATTAACAAAAGAGACAAAGTGTGTGTAGCCACACCAGTGCCCACACAGCATTACAGAGATGTTGACATATGCACTAATTCATGTTTTCAACTTTGGGAAACAGGTGCTGCTGCAAATCCCGCTGTGGCAGCATGCCCACACCAGTGGAAAGTGTGTGCTGCAAAGAGCAGAACAAGGTCAAAGAGAAGGCTGGGAGCCTTCCCTGCATCACAATACATAGGCTCATTGGGCTATACTGTCTGAACCGGATGTCCTGGACCGCGAGCACAGGAAGCTGAGGGTTTGCCGGCCTCTCAGCACGAGAAACATCAAGCAGATAAATGCGTATGTACAGTAAAACTAAATCACTATACAGTCGCCAACCGTTTTTTTGGACTCCGATGATTTGGACTTGTTTTATATTTCGGACCTAAAGGCGGAACCGTGACTTACCCCATAGAAATAGTGTATACAGCTTAGACCGCATATAACGTATGTCGCGGGAGTCGCGAAAATCCGCACTATAAGCGGTACCGCGTTATAACCAAAACATCAATTTTTCAGGCCAAAATACATGCCATGAGACAACTTAACTTTGTAAAACAAATTTATTTTATATTAGATGAAAAATAAAGCTTAGTTTTAAGAAAGTCTTTATTTCACCGGACTAGTACACTTCTCTCTCAAGTGTATCACACATTTCGAAAGAAATGAGCGACTTTTGCCTGGCGCAGCCTTTAACCGCGTCGCGGTTTGCAGACGGACGTTGCTATAGCGTTCAGGATTGCTAATCCTAATCACTTTTCTCCAGTGATGCAAACGCGTGAAAATTCGCATCCTTTATACGGAACGCGCCAGTAATACCTTCAAATTTAGAGCACAGGCATGAAATGCTCCAAATAAGAAATCCGGGCGATGTTCGAAAACACAAATGCAGGAGTCACTACTGTAGTCGAAGTAAACGAACAGGACGACACTGGCGTTTCTGCCGTCTTGAGAGTGCCTCCACGACATCGCCGCACGAGTAGGTGGATCTTCCCTTCTAGTACGTGCTGGGTTATCATAGTGACACACAGCGAAAATTCAGTCAAGGATAGCGCTTTTACGCGGAACGAACCACGCCGTCTACGTCGACGATCACAACCGACGCCATGTTTGCGGATAGAAGTAACCGGGCCGCGACCGGCATGCAACGCGCACGAACACTTCTCCTCGATCTGCGATTGGCCTGTCGTGGTTGCGGAGGGACGCACATACGTGAACGACATGTGCGTGCGTCCCTCCGTCGCTATGGCAACTGAAGCCTGTCTCTTTGTTTTTCACCGCTTCTTCGAGCACCCTCCTTGCCCCGCGAGTGCCGCGTGTTGTTGCGGCTTGCACCGTTATCTAGTGTCGCACAGGGAAGCGTGCTCTCTGCGTAGGTCAGTCGGCGCGGTCGCCGGGCTGTTCCGAAAACTGCACTATAACCGGTATTTCCCTTCGCGCGCCTGCATTTTAAGTGGTATGTAATTACATGGAGTTCTATGGGAGGCAAACCGGTGGTTTAAAAAAGCCGCGTTATACCCGGTCCTGCACTATAAGCGGTTACGTTGTAAGTGGTCTATACTGTATTCACGACCAATGTTTCAGACAGCTTCAAGTCCAAAAGTTTGATTATTCGGACAAAATCATCGCGAGCGATCAGCGTAAAACACCATCGAGAAGAGGCCATTTCGAATTCTATGTTGGCTGCCAATGGATTGGCTTGGTTTGCCAGCGCTACTTGAGCACTCCTGAGTCCTACCGCTAGGCGACGCTATGCTAGCCCTTTCTTTCCCATTTAGCTGCACGTCATCATCATCATTATTATCATTTTGCTTTGTTTTTCGTTCCTTCGCGTCGCCAGTCGCCATTTTGCGCTCGTGGATTTGCGCTGGCTTGGACGTCATGGCCCCATTTGTTCTTCTGCTACTCGACCATAACGCTAGAAATGAAGGCAGCGATTCTCAAGCTAACAGAAAGTTGTCGAACGGAAACGGAGGCGCAACTTAAAACAAGGCACGCAGGCGTAACCTGAAACAAGGCACTATTTACGGCTTTTTAAAGCCCACTTGGAAGTAATAAAGGCGAGTTTTTCAGTCTGCTGATTTTTCGGACTGGTCTATTATTCGGACGTTTTTTCGGTCCCAGCGAAGTTCGAATAACCGGTCGCCGACTGTACCTTTTTACTATGAAATTCACCACTTTGTAAATAAAGTGAGGATGTAAAGCGAGATGTGCATTAGATGAACCGGAAAAGGCAGTGCCTCAATGTTGGCAATTGAAGTTTCCGACACAGGCAGGTTTTTATTGGTGGCCTGAAAAACATACCCAAAATTTAGAAGCAAACCATCCATTACATGCTTGCACGCTCGCATATGCATGTTCTAATGAAACTACAGCATGTGGCGTTTTGCTGCTGGCCATCGGACTAGTTCCAAGTGGATACCTGGCAGTGTAACTAAATAACTTCATTATGTTATCACTGCAGTAAGCACAGGTACACGGCGTACTGCCAATTCTTTTGGTGGGTGCACGGAAGGCTGGGAAAGGAGAACCGGGTAACCTTGCCCAGCTGCGTGGTGACCAGGCTGCACAAACAGTTCCCCGCCCCGAACCCTGCAGACTACACGGGCTTCAAGCAGTCATAATGCTGAGTAAGTTGGCATGCTATCCACCTTCAAATCTCTTAAATATGTATCTTTTCCTACCAAGCACTTGGGAGCAACAGTCGCTCCAACCTATTGTTGGCGCTGTACAAGTAATGAGGCCCAAAATATCTTTAAACCTTAAGATGTTTTGTCTGCCATGGCAATGAGCATGATCTAGCATGAGAATGCTCGCACTCACTGCCAGAACAAATAGTCCAATTAAATTTTGGGCTTCATTTGTCAAGCTCCCTCCACAAATCAGTGAATTGCTTTTTCCGGTGTTTTGCAAAAAAAAAAAAGGAAAGATGTAGCTTTCAGGAGCAGTACGTAATTAACGTTCGAATAAAGAGATCAATATTTGACATATAACAAAGTCACTGTTTATTGCAAACTAACCAATTTTTTACTTTAAACGATCAGAGACCGAAGACGAGGAAATGGGCCAGAGACATTTTGAAAAGGGGCTCATGGCAAGGAGCTGGTGGCCGGGGAGCGCGGGGCCCGGGGCTCGTGCTCGGAACTGATCAGATTGACACGTCAGATCGAACTGCTTTGTTGCTTGCGCATAGTGTAAATAAATGTTTGCTTCAACGTAACTAACGATGACTACCAGAAGTTCCTGCATTTAATGCTGAAACCCGAGACGTAACGAGTCAACAAAGGAAATCTGGTAGACCGAAGCAATACGAACGACAGAAGCAAGCAACATTCCATCGAGACAAGACTGAAAGATCATGGACATCCTCAAGAAGAAACGGAAGACCCTGCAAACGCAAGTAACGAAACTCCTCAGCGAGGCAAAAGAATTATTTCAGCTGACTCCGGCAGCCATTGATGATTTAGAGATTTTGATCGAGCGCATAAGCCTCTCTCGGGATCAACTCAGCCACGTAGATGCCACAATTGAGCTATTGAAACTAATAAGTCGTTGTAGCTGCAATATCGGGCGCAATAGTCAGCAACGAATGGTGCAGGAGGCTTTCGCTTTGCCTTACCTCACTTAAATCGCAAAGCATGAGCAATGACCTCGACGCATTCTTTAGATAGTCTTTCCATTCTGGCCATTCCTAAGCCTAAATGAACGCGATAATTGTCGGCATGGCAACGTCTTTGGAAAGCGGATTGCCTTGACTCAATCGGCCGGGTATTGATAGCACACAAAAGCAGACAGCGTCCCAATAGACCTTTCTCTTAATTACCCAAGCATCGAGGAGAACACTGAAAGTGTAATTCTATGGTCCACGAGCGCTGGCCTTCCTCTTATAAAAGATTCGAAGTAGATAATCATAAGGCTTTGACAAGCGTGCGTGCAAGGCAAAATCTGTTTTAGACTTTTTGCTTTAGAACAATTACTACTGCAGACGCCAGCACGTCTGCCCACATCTCATTGCGCAATGTGTGGCACTGCTAGTGGCCGGACCTGTTTGTAAACATGAGTTGGTGTATACTTCACAGCATCACTTGGTATGAAACACTAACATGACAACACTGTTAATATGCTGTGGTCTACTTGCCCTCAGGAAGCTGCTTTTTCTTCCCCAGGTCTCCGTGCTGGCACCTTGGATACAGGGGGTTGGCATGTTCGTGCAAGTCAGCCACGTGTCCCACCAGGGAAGTCCACTTTGGAAGGATCTCCTCCGGCGCTCCATTGCTCGATTCCGCACACCAATAAAGGTGCTTGACGATTGCCTCCACCCAGTCTTGGAGTCCCACAAGGGACTTGAGTTTTCCAGCTGAGACCAAGCGCTTCTTGATGCCTGAAAAATGAAGCATTGCATTCATTCTGCTAAGCACCAAGCTTAGGTTGCCAGAAACCACAGCTTGACAAAATAAAGAGTTCATAATTATGAACACCAAAAACAAGAAAAACCCAATTCTGCCCCATTTTCTCAAGTATAAAAAAAAAAACATGGCGATATCTCACTCTAGGACACTTTCCTGTATTAAAGGCTTTTAGACACTTCCGTCGAGTGTAAAGATTGTGCCCGCTGTCTTCCATGCTGAGAAAATAGTTAAGGGACGGAAGAAACATCAAAATCCAAGCATTTTGGGCTCCGGCAACATGCATGCGCACGGCCTGGCAAGCGAGATTGTTTCCAAGCGCTCTGGGGACGCCACCTCGCTTCACCTCGCCAAACCTTGCCAACCGCGACCGGACCCTGAGGCCGAAAGGCTCTGGCGCAGCCAGGAACGGCATTGAGGTTGCAGCTCCTCCTTCTGTGCTACCATGCAGTGCTCAGAGTTATCGGCGTCGTTTGTCCTTGCACTGAAGCCTCTAGGGCCTCCTTCGGACACGAGGGTCCTATTTCACAAGGCTTGGACAAGGGCCGCCCTCACCAAGCAGCTTCGCAACCTTCCGCTCACTTAGTTTGACAATAAAAGCTTGCGGTTCTTCTCTTGAGAAAATTACGGGTGACCCCACGGGACTGCTCTCCGCCGCCACCGAGGATCACTATGTTCTCAGTTGTGCACTCGCTCCCACAGTGGGTGCCTTCCCATAATCCTCCCCGATCCAAATTGCAATGCAACCTCCATTTACATGGTTTGAATAAATGCCCATTCGCCCTCTCAATCCACCTCTGTCTAGGGACTTGAATGCGATGCGCTCCCCTAGTGTATTATTTTGTTTACATGACCGCATTGAATGCGACAACTGGATTCAAATCGACTAAGTCGCATTCATGTAAACGCAACTTATGTTTCAGCTTATATTGTACCGCAGCGAAAACTAGAAGCGCAAGCTCATGGCCTTGGCAGCTGCTTCTGCTGCACGAGAGCTTGTGCCGCCGAGCAGTTGCCACAGAGCAAGGAGCTCATGCTTGTAGCCTTTCCTGCAGTACAACATGCGCAGAAACAAACTATAGTGACAGGCAAGGGTAAGAGCGTTCCGCAATTAAATATTTTGTTTTTGCATAACCTGGAACCCCGATTACTTATGGCTCACCTTTTGCAACGTGCCGGCAGTCGAACATGTGCCGAATCTGGGGGTACCACTTGGCAAGGAATGACTTGATCATGGAGTGGCGATCAGTGATGATTCCTCCCACAGTCAATCCATTGGCTTCACAAATCACTAGAGTCCTTTTCAGGCCCTTGAGCTCCATTGCCCAGCTGCCCTTTGTTTCGTTGGACTGAAGCGACAAATAGAACATTGCATTATCACACCAAACATGAAGTATCCAGAACAAAGTCAACTAGAGCTGTTGAATGAGACATTGCATGTCTGAAAAATGTTGTTTTCGCCATTCATTTTCACTTAATTACAGAAAGGTTTCATTTCAGTGGAACAGAAGCATCAGAACATTTATAGCAGGGGAATTTACCTGCACTGTTTCCACATGGAGAACCTTGTTCGTTGACACGTCAACAACGGTGTACGTTCCATATTTCGCTGAGTGCCCGGGGGAGTCTGACCGCCCATCACCAGCGAGGACCAGTTCTCGTCCACTTGCTTGCTCAAAGAGCTCGTTTTGTTTCCTGTTCCACACCTGGAAGTCTATTTGCAAAGACTTTTCTAAACAAACATAAATCCTGGACATGTTTTTCATTTCACCTATAAGTATACTGCAAGCTTCTTTCGTTTATGTGAACTCCCATGGAAGTTGAGCATTTAAGTTTCAATCCCAGCTAATGCGATCAAAGCATTGACAAATTGTAATTTGTCTTTATATTCAAAATGAGGGGATGAAATGCTCCATGTCGTGGGTATAAATACTGAAGGCATGCACATATGCACATTTAGGTAGATTGGCAAAACACTTTGTTTTTTCTATTATCCATGCATGGGAAAGTTGATGAATAGCTTTTGACACTTTCCGCATTGAAACTCAAGAAGCATAGTGTTGGACTTACTTAGGTCGCATAGACCCCTGCCTGTTCAGGTCTTGTTCCCCTCGTAGCATTCAACAAGCACAGTTTGGCTGCCGAGGAGCTGCCTTCTCAAGAGCGACCTTGAAGAAATGCCACTCGGTATAAAAATAGAGTACTGGCCAATTAATCTTTACAATCGAACTGGGGAACATCTATTGTTGCTTCTTTTACTTATTCCCCACATCAAAATCTGTCCTTTACGCTGCCCACTTCTCCAGTAGGTGCAGTCAGTCACAAAGCAGGAGAATAAGAACTGAAAACATTGCCTCCCCGTTCAGAAACCAAGGAGGCGACGGTTTCCCCACATGGAATGCGGCGAGTCTTCGAAGTATGTGCCCTGTATTACTTTGCACACACAGTTGGTACCTTTCCACCCTCGGAGTGTGGTCAAAATAGGTGCAGAGGACACATCTCAACTCTCCCTATTTACGATATTTTCCGGCATGTAAATTGTTTCTTTCCTCAAATTTCTCTCAGTGCATCTTACACAAAGGTGCGACTTACTTTTTTTTACAAGTATAAACCATAGCTGTGCAAGGCCGTATCAACAGTTACAACAAAGGGAAATCGGCAGAGCCCGTAGTTTGTATTGCATCGCACAGACCTAGATCCATTAGATGTAGCCTTCGGGTACTGCGGATCAGCTTTTCCTTACAATCGGAACCTTGGCAATATGCCGGCTTCCAGCAAAGCTTCCAGCCGGCCACATCAGAACACCTTTCCCACGGTAGTTCGCAAGAACATTGAAGCTAACTCTTACTTGTGCTTATATTACAATATACATATGACAGCTCATCGATGCAGTTTTGCCTTGCGGTCCGTATAAAGATGTGCCACCTATAGACGTTTGCAAGTCCGCGACCTCGGGGCGCTGCCACCTTGCTCAGTTGGGGTGCACTTGGGTACGCCAAATTGGATTATGATGCCTCACTAAGGTGTCGTAACCAGACTATGGCCACGCCCAAGCATACCCCAGCTCGGCAAGATGGTGGCACCCTGGGGCCGTACTTGCAAACATGTATATATCAACCTTTTTGTAAAAACAGCCGTTTATAGGAGTGTGTGACTTGTAGACAGAAACATATGGTGCTTCAAAGGATGTACTGCACCATTCAGGATCCCATAAGAGTGCTGAGCCTGAAATATTGGCACCTAAAATAAACCCCTTTCACAGGTACGGAAAAGCTTGAAACGTGCCATACCTGTCTGATTGCTGGTAGAAGGAAGGCACCCTGAATCTTGAAGTATGTCTCGTACGAGAAACAGGGCACGCCCATCTGGCGGAGGAGCCTCAGCACTTTTTTGACGATGCTCCCAGAGAAGAGTGTTGCTGCAGCTAGGAGCACATTGCCTAGGGCCCTCCTATTCACTGGTGGTTGGCTGGTCCAGGTGTGTTGGTGGCCATTGTTGCACATTCTGTGCACCCGGAGACACGTCCCTTTGAGCTTCTTCTCTGTGATGCGGCACAGTGCAGTGTACTCAGGTCAATTACCCAGTAGCTCGTCCAAACAAGACTCGAAAACAATAAACTTTCGTTCCGAGACGTAGTCGATGCTTTTGCTGCTCTCATGCTGACTGAGTGCGCTGTCACATGCGGTGTTCTGTTGTGCATCCCTGAAATAAAAAAAGAAAAAAGAAGCAACCTCTTACACACCCCCTCATACTCTTTACTAAAGATGACATATATCCGACTGATACCAGCCTCAGAAAGCCGGTGCCGGACATCATCATGAGAAAGCTAGCGTCAGAGGGGAGCTCATTGTCTATTGTTGGCAGCTGTGGTGGGTCTGGTGGTAGAGCTGGTTGTCTGGGCTCTGGCGGCTGTGGCGACAGCGTCAGCCCTTCAGGCAACATCCAATCCAATGGAGCCTGGGGGACATGATTTGGTGAGGAGCATTGTGGTGTCACGAGGACAGGACTTGTTTGGGACTGTCGTGATGAAGTCTTCATGGTGACTTGTATGCCTGTGCCATCATAACGTGTTACAACGATCTAAACAATGCTGCCTTCTGAGAAATTTCTTTTTGCAGATACGTACATTGATTTCTGTAGATGCCCGAGGTCTGCGTAGCAGCGGTCCGAAGGTCAGGAGCCTGTTTGGCATTACTGATGGAGGAGGCTGTTCACAGCAGAGGAAATAAAGTGTGTTTCAAAACAAAATCACCCTTGGCTCATGCAGTCAGCAATACAGTGAAACCCGTTTATAACGAACAGCAGGAAACACTACGATCAGTTCGATATAGCAAGTAGTTCGATATAGCAAAACCCACTTACAAAACCGAGCTACGACTTTCCCGGCGATTAAATATGGATCTTTAAATCGCTGCAGCCACCCAGATCCAGCGGTGAAGCCCTCAACGTTCAGGAGGGGTGCAAAATCTCTTGCCTTGCTTTGCAACATTGGTCCGGAGACCAGCAGGTTCCGCGCACAAATGTCCAAAAACCATTGGTACAGCGCTTTTTCCACCTTGCCGTACGCCGGCTTGCGGATGCGCCTGCTGTCCGCATTTAGCCGTTCACGGGCCTTGTCTCGGATGGCAGACTTGTTTTTAAGAATTGTACTCAGCATACTTCTGGGGATCTTGTAGGCAGCGGCAACGTCTGATTTCTTTTTGCCGTGCTCCACACAACTGATGATGTCGACCTTGTCGGAAAGTGGCAGAGCCTGCCGCTGCTTCGTCGTCATTTCGGGCGCGAACTAGCTGGCCCGTACAGTGAACAGAAAGTGCATTGGGGACAAGAAAGACGACAACAAACGACGACTAAATTAACGAGAAGAAAGGAGGGAGGGGGAGAGAGAGAGAGCTTTGCCTGTGGTTGACGCTTTCAACGGCATGTGACAATGCTATGGAATCTGAAATGCGATAGGCTTATTGCTTCTTGGGGCGTGGTGTGTCAAGCCCCAAGTGAATGCGCAAGGTGAGGAGGGTCAAACTAGAGTTCCTTCAAGTTCTCTTCGGCGGGACATGAAGGCCCCCTAGGTCAAACTAAAGTGACTTTAGGTGAAACAAGGCGCGAAGGGAGAGGAGGCGAGAACTTCTTTTTCTTTCTCGTCTCTTCGCTTCCGCCTTGTAACAACGCGCTAGAAAGGTTTTTTTTTTTTTTTTAGCTTACCTACGTTTTTTAATTGCTTTTCTTCGTAAGCAACCGCTTCGCACTTAAAAGATTTCTTTTTTTTTTCTGTGCCCTTCGGAATCGCTTTTCTTCGCTTATTTTTGTTTGCAGCTCGAGCTTTTGGAATTTTTTTTCTTTCCTTCACTTTTTCGGGCGAAGGCATTGGCTGAAAGACGATCGTTTGCGCGTTTTTGGAAGCCTTCCCAGGGGGAAAAAGTTCGATATAGTCAATCTGTTGTCCGTTACAAAAAGTACTTTTCACATACATTTTGATTTAAATTTTTCGTGAGTTCGATATCGACAATAATTCGCTGTATGTGGGTTCGTTCTAAACGAGTTTCACTGTAGACTATAGATTACCCTAATTTGGCAGAATTAACTACTAAAATATGTAAGCTGAGTGGTTTCAATCGGCGCACATACCTGAGCTCGAAAAAGGTTTTTCGATGCCAGCACTTGCATCGTGCATTGGTTCATGTCCAGAGTCAGGACCTTGCTCTGTGTCGTCAGCAGAAGGGGTTGACGATGTGCTGACCTCTTCAGCGATGAGTGTGGCCGTTGCTTGTGCCGGTGCCTTCATTAATTCGTCAATTATCTATAAATAATAGGCATAAAAACTTACAACATGCAAAACAAACATGCACTGTCAATATGCTGCTAACACCCAGGTTTGGCTCAAATGCGGGTGACTGGCCCGAGCCCTTATCTTTGTTAGGCTCATGTCACTCTGTGTACCCTCCTCATCTGGACTTTACTTGAACTGGTAAGCAAATTGCACCGTCAAGTGCACAATCATGAACACTAAGATGGAACGGTCGAATGACGACCAAAGTTAATTACTGGCCTCGAGCCGAGAAATTGAACAAGCACTTATAATAGCCTCATGATTGGGGTGCAACTGTCATAAATGGCCAGCTGGTGCTCCCAGTGAACTTTATAAATAAACACCATATTCCACGAGATTAAAACAAAGTAACTCAGCAAAAGATGTCACAGTGTTTATTTTTGTTATAAATTGGCACACATTTAGCAGCATCTATTTTTGGCACAAGAATCAATTTTTGCTGCAATTTAATTTCCTACACCACCAGGTTTTTAGGCCTTCTCGGCACTTGTCGTCTTGAAGCATTATTGCGAGCATGTATTCAATGCATGGGAAGAACATAGAGGAAACAAGATCTTATAGACCGACACACTGTTTCCCAACAAGCCTGCATTCGCCCACACCAGGGACTGCGCAGAAACCCAATTCAAGTGTCTGCGCCTGCACAGTGCCGTTAACAGCGCCACCGCAGCTGCGTGACATCAGGGCCGCCTGTTGGTCTACAGTCGAACCTCGTTATATCCAACAGTGCGAGAACCGCCAAATAATTCAATATAACCAAAATTCTATATACAAAATCACACCAAAAACGCGTCAAAGTGCATCGCGATTCAATCACTAACAAGCTTGCGGCAAGAACGACTACTCACGTGAAGCTTTAAGATTAACTATTTATTTCGGCGAAGAAAACTGCCGCAGCATAGATTGCTTCTTGGAGTAGACCGCATGCCTTACTATGACCCGCTCCATGGTCTCCAAGTCCACAAGCACCTTACCACTACCGTTGGAATTGCGCTTCAGTAGCGGCGTAAAAGCATCAAAGCAGCCACAGTTTCACCCCAAGTCGGCCAAGTTTTGTGCTTGGTGGATGAACGCAAAGTCTTTTGCTTTCTGTTGAAGTATCGGCCCCGATATCGGAATGTTCCGAGCCCTTGTGTCCATGAACCACTCGTAAAGTAATCTTTCCACCTTTTCGAAAACCGGTGTCCGAACACGGTGTACGCCGGAGTGCTTGCTTCGTTCAGCCTTCGATTTGATGTCACTGTTTGTCTTCAGCAGCATGCTCAAATTTCTTCGCGGTATGTTGTACGCTTCGGCAACGCTGGACTTCTTTTCTCCGTTTTCGACGTGGCAGATGATTTCAAGCTTCTTCGCAAACGTCAGCGGCGTACGTTTCTTTACGTCTGTTGCCATCAGTGCGCCATATGCGGTTGATGCAACTTCGGAGGAATGAACCCGGAGGAACAAAACTGCGGGATCTATGCACAGCGCATGAAAATAGCGATACTGGCGAAGCATGCTGGCAATACGATTGAGCGGATTGAGCTGACTGAGCGACTGAGCCTGTATGCCGCTGAGTGGCTAAGTCTGGATGGCGCTCCCGGCATCATATGCATAAAACTTTACGCAGGCATGCGCTTGTAAAAGTCGCAAACGCCTGCTGCGCAACCGCTATCCTCCAATGTGTTGCGGGAAAGCCCGCCGTATCCTTTGATGTTGTGCCGGAAAGCCTGCCGCCTGTCTCCGGAGCGCACGCTTTCCGGCGCTGCGGAGTTCGATATATTAATTTTTTAACCGACTGAGTCTGTTATAAAAAATTTAAAATGCATGTAATTCGTATGACAGTTCGACAACGATTCGATATAAGCAATAAATCTATATATCCGTGTTCGATATAATGAGGTTTGACTGTATAACTAAGATATCGTCATAGTGATCAGAAATATAAACGAGGGGCGGAAACATTAATTGCAGGTTTAGGTTATAGTACACGCATATGTACATAACAAGGTTCTCATTAAAAAAAACTACAGCACTCTTTTTCATTTATTTTCCGCAATTGAGAGAAACGGCCTTCCAGGTTAACACTGAACAGATGAAGCGACGGCAGCTTGACCATCTCATCAGGAAGAGAGGACGAGTGAGGGAAACGAGTTTTCCAAAACAGAATGATGTATACACTCACACTTTTCTAAATGGCGTGGCACTCATACTGTGGGTATCCTATTCCGAAATTCAGCAGCATCTCCTTATTCGCCACAATGAGGAATAGCACATGCTCAAGATGCCGCGGAGTTTGCACATCCTGCTCAAGCTCGGAACATACCAGCTGCAAACCAAAAGGAAGTATGTAGATCATCAATTAACCACATTCTCCCAGGAATGGTTCAACTCGGTCCTACGTGCCATTTTCAGATAGCCCAAACCAATATTCGATATTTATTTGTTTATGCCAAATTTCTCAAATTAAAATTAGCTGGCATTTATCAGTAGTAATACCGATAAATACCAGCCTTCACAATTGAGCCAAAGGTGCCGGCGCAAGCTCGTAGCTTCAAAGCAAGTTTCTACCACATGAGCCCGCGTACCGAGTGCCATCGCCGCAGCTACTATACTCCGTTTCACCTTATGTTGTACCGCAACGAAGGCTAGAAGCGCGAGCTCACAGCGTAGGCAGCTGCCCTTCTTGCAAAAGAGCTTGCGCAGCCGAGATGTGCCCTAAAGCAAGGAGCTCGCGATTTTAGCCTTTCCTGCGGTACATCATAAGGTGGAACAGAGTATAGCTGCAGTCTCGCCATGTACACGGTACCGACAGTGGAGTACCTGCGATTGGCGGCAACCTTACGTACGGATAAGGGCACGAGAGCGAACACGAATGTTGTACACACTTACCCTGCGCGACGCTGCTAGCGAGAACACAATCTCGGCGTTTTTCCGCATTCGACCTCAAAGGCGAGTTAGTAGGCACGATACTTTACAGCTCAGGTGAGTGCCGCAAATGAGCACTTCCCACTTTACGTGACAGCAAAACAAAAGCAAAAAAATCAGCGTTCGCTTGCTCGCGCTAGCAGTTTTGCGCTATGTACTACGCTAATTCCACGACCACTCGCATTCGTGCTTTCCACTGGGAAAGAAGCAGAAAAATATTTCGGTAGCTGCGCTCACCTCTTTGCGTCGCCGTTTTTCCACAGCACCGCTGTGCCGCTCTCGCTTGCATTTTCGTGTGAAGAGCGATGGCACCATGCCAGGCTTCAAATAGGCCTGTTTTACAGGCAAGCCCAGACTCTGCAGTAACTTTGGGCTCGTCTTGTAGTCCTCGTCTTCGAAGTGTTCCATGCAAAGACAATCGCCTTTGGTGGGCTTCCATGCTGGCTGGGAAGGACGGGCCGCGCGAATCCACAGCTTGCGCAATGTGGGCTCACTCGGAAACTTGTGCGCAGGCCTGCTGCTGCAACATACGCTGTTTGAGCAGTCTCGTGCAGCGTAGTACTGCGGCATAACTATCGAAGAAACTCGATCCGAATGGATAGAGTTTCTTCGATCCCTCGATCACTCGACGCGGTTCTCCATTAGGACTGCAGCGGGACAAGCCAGGCTGCCAAGGAGCGAGAGGTCTGTGACGTCAGTTCCGCTCGGGCTCCTCCGCGGTGGCGTCAATCGTACCGGCGGCTTTCGGCCGACGGATTGCCCCATCGCGGCTTTTCAATCAAAGAAATATAATAGTCCGATCCCTTGGTATGGTCTTGGTTTTTAGGTATAGTAACGTCCGGGGCACCTCGTCCGGGGCTTATATTGAAAACTTCAGATATCGGTTCAGTATCCCTCTAAAGGGGCACTGACACATCAAAATATTTTTTTTTTTTTATTATCCGAAACGATTGGAAACAATGCGGGAACATTATCCTCAAAATTCGAAATTTGGGAATTCAGTATTTGTGAAGTCAAAAAACAATTTCCAAATGCCGAATTCAAAGTTCCCGCGCGATCCGCGTCGGTGCGTTGACGTCAAATATTGCGGAGTCCTGAGAGTCCACTTTCTTTCACGACTCCCTGCTGTTGCCATGGCGACCCAAAGCGAGGAGGAAAGGAGCAAGCGACGGCGGACCGGTTTTGAGCGGTGTCACCTGTTTTCCGTGGGAGGATACAAATCCAAGAGACGGCACCACCACGGACTCCGATTTTTGGTATTTCAAAAAGAAGGGCCGTAGTGCGTTTGCAATTGCGTTAAAAAACATGTTTTACGATTGCCGTTATTAAATGTTATAGAGATGTTGCCTACAAAGCTTCTAAATTTCATGATTCTTGACGTCACGAATCAAAAGAAGCGAGGAGGTGAGAGGCGGGAGAATCAAACACCAAAAATAAAAAGGCATGCGCGCATGCGCGGGAAAATTTTTTTTTGCGATGGTATGACTGCAATTTGCATCGTTTTAGACAATAGAAAAAGATACGACCTTTGGGGTGTCAGTGCCCCTTTAAGGGCTTTCTAGAGAGTGTCGGTACTCCATGCGGTACTTTTCATGGTAGTTTTTTTCAGGCACTGGATTCGTCACCAGGGTAGTTCTGCAGTCCAGCTGTGAGGATTTCACTGTGGAGAGGTGTTTCGTTCCACTGCCTCTAAGCTGAAGTTAGTCTCCTTTGCAGGTCTTCAATCTGGTTTAAGTTGAGAAACTTTTGTTGCAGACAGAAGAGCAGGGAGTCAGATACGATCTCAGATATCTGACTGATTAGCTTATTACTAAGGTTAGGCATCAGCTCTAGCAGCCATGGACTGCTTTTGAGTACAGAATAAGCCGGAGTACTCACCAGTGTCCAGGCACGGGGTCGGCAACTGGCCAGATGTCAAAGGCAGGGCATCAGCGTGGCAGCCTGCAGTTAAAGAACACATGAAGTGTCAGCACTTTAACAGCCATGAACTGCTTTCGAGTTTCGAATGCGGTGAGCAAGTTAGCCAAATTTGGTTTACTGTGCACGTGAAAGGGGGCAAAAAGGAGGGAGAGGAGGTTGACATTTTGCGCTAAGCTCCACCCCGGCACAGTCCAGAAGTGGTTTGAAGTAAGCAACATCTCGGCATCTCTAATGCCGGCCTCGCTGAAGTGGCGTTCATTGTCTCGGTATCGCTCTTTTTGGTCGCGCTGGGAACTTCCCGAAATAAAAGAGCGAGCAATTTTGTGCCGAGTGCCCTCCTCAATCGAAGGCACTAGAAATGTGCTTTGCTTATGGATGCAGTGCGTGCTTGTCCGATTGACAGCATCCCGCTGTAAAAATTCCTGAAGGACGCAGTAAAGTTCGTTGCTTCTCTACTATGGAGGAAGGCCAGCTTCTTTCCACGTAGCTCGGCGATGCTGACCGAAGGATCAAGGAGACGACGTTCAAAGTTGAAGTAGGAAATGTATTTACAGGTCATTACAAATAGTTTACAGCATGGTGCGTGCACAGCACGGAATCTCGTCGTTCGACACTCTCCAGTTACAGTCGAGCTTTCCCCATTCTGCTTCGTCTCCCATTTTTGTCTCCTCATGAGACAAACCATGGCAGGTTCAAACAATCACTCTCCCCTCTCCCCCGTCACTTCACCAATCGTGTTTCGATTTAACTTTCCCAACTCCGCCCAAGAAACGCACAATGCCCTCTCCCTTGTCATTTTACCAATCGTGTTTCGATGTCACTTTCCCAAATTCCGCCCAAGTAACGCACAATGTCCTCTCCCTCGGCATGGCAAGGTCACCCACCCGGTTCCAGATGCCTTTAGCCGAACACTGGACGGTCGTCGGCCCTCTCTACCTCCTTTCAGCAGGCACTTCAGAAAGGTCCGCATTTCGGGAACCCGAGGCGCCGGTCCGATTAGTGGCGTCGCCGTAGACGACAATTAACGCACAATGCCCTCTCCCTCGTCATGGCAGGGTCACAAAGTTCCCCCTGGATTTCCCCGATCGCTGGACGGACGAGCGTCGACATTGTATACCTCCTTTTAGCCGGCACCTTTAAGAAGGTCCGCGTTTCGGGGACCCGAGGCGCCGAGCCGATTAGTGGCATCCCCAACTTCCCCTGCTTTTGTCCCGCGAAACATACTTAGGAGGGCTGAGAATTGCATCCCAGGGTCGGCCAAAAGTCAGCGGCCTTACAGACGCCAATCTCTGAAAGAAGTGAATCCGGCTAATAAACAGGGATAATTCAAAAGCTTCCATTTCCTCCATTGTCTGCTCGAGACATTTCGAATATGATGAGATTAATGAGATTAAGCCGACAAAAAGGCCTCTTTAAAAGAGGAGAACTTGGCCAATGTTGCCAATCAGGGGAATGGCTGCTACCAGCCACAAAAAACAGTCCGCCGATCATGGAAGTATATTCCATTTGTTGACCTTATCTTACTTTTAAAGATATAACCGACTCTACTCCCTATCAGGTTCATTTAATCCTTTGGTGGTGAAAAGCAAAATTCAAGGTTGATCATGATTAGCCGAACCGCCCTAACATTCCGCGAAGAAATTTAGCCTTCAATTCCAAATTTCAGACTCGGAAGCCACCTTTTGAAACTATACCTGTCCACTCTGGTCCAGAGCTAACACGAGCCTCTCAATCTGCACGGATTTCATCTTGAACATAACAATTTGTGTGATCAAAACAACTTGTGTAGAAACACGAGATCGGCAGCGCGAAGCAACTACTCCTGCGGTACTCATTGCTCATGGCCTCACATTTTCTGCGAACAACGCTTTCCATACTTCATTGATTTCCGCAGAACAAATTCAGGTTCCATACGTTTTGAACGCCCCTCGTATGCATCAGCACTAGCTGCCAAGAAGCGCTTTGGAGCCGGAGTACTCACCGGTGTCCAGGCACGTGGTTGGGGACAGACAGACGTCGTCGAAGCCTAGCCGTCAGCACGCCAGGCTGCGTTTACAGAACACATTAGGTAAAGTGTCACCACTAGGCGCCATGAAGTGCTCTGGAAAAAAGGATGAGCCCGAGCACTCACAAGCGGCTAGGCACAGGGTTGGGTTGCTCGACAACCATTATGACAGATTCACAGATGGAACCTGTCATAATGGTTGTCGTCGGCTTTCCTTACAACTGCTAGGAAGCACTTTGCTGGCAAGGCGTGCGCTGCCTTAGATCTCTCTGCGGGGTTGCACAAAGTTTTCGTTTCTACTTCTTTTCTCGGGTTCCTACCGGTGCGTAAAACAAATTTTTTTATCTATGCGCATTCGACATTTGGCTGCCAAAAACTTTCTGCAAGACGTTTTCGATTCACAGCTGGAACCTGTCATTAAAGTTGTCATCGGCTGTCTTTACAACTCCTCTGAAGCGCTATACTGTCAAGGCATGTGCCACTTTAGATCTCTCTGTGGGGTTCCACAAAGTTTTCGTTTGTACTTCTTTTCTTGGGTTCCTACCGGTGCGTAAAACAAATTTTTTTGATCTGTGCGGCTTAAACATTTGGCTGGCAAAAACTTTCTGCAAGACGTTTTCGTTTCACAGCTGGAACCTCTCATTAAGGTTGTCATCGGCAGTCTTTACAACTGCTAAGCGATTTGCTGTCAAGGCGTGTGCCACATCAGATCCCTCCGTGTGGTTGCACAAAGTTTTCGTTTGTTACTTCTTTTCTCGGGTTCCTACCGGTGCGTAAAACAAATTTTTCGATCTGTGCGGCTTCAACATTTGGCTCGGAAAAACTTTCTACAAGACGTTTTAGTTTCACAGCTGGAACCTGTCATTAAGGTTGTCATTAATTGGCTGTCTTTACAACTGCTCGGAAGCGCTTTGCTGTCAAAGCGTGTGCCACATCAGATCCGTCCGTGGGGTTGCACAAACTTTTCGTTTGTACTTCTTTTCTCGGGTTCCTACCAGTGCGTAAAACAAATTTTTTGATCTGTGCGCCTTCAACATTTGGCTGGCAAAAACTTTCTACAAGACGTTTTCGTTACACAGCTGGAACCTGTCATTAAGGTTGTCATTCGCTGTCTTTACAACTGCTCGGAAGCGCTTTGCTGTCAAGGCGTGTGCCACATCAGATCCCTCCGTGGGGTTGCACAAAGTTTTCGTTTGTACTTCTTTTCTCGGGTTCCTACCGGTGCGTAAAACAAATTTTTTGATCTGTGCGGCTTCAACATTTGGTTCGGAAAAAACTTTCTACAAGACGTTTTCTTTTCACAGCTGGAACCTGTCATTAAGGTTGTCATTCGCTGTCTTTACAACTGCTCGGAAGCGCTTTGCTGTCAAGGCGTGTGCCACATCAGATCCCTCCGTGGGGTTGCACAAAGTTTTCGTTTGTACTTCTTTTCTCGGGTTCCTACCGGTGCGTAAAACAAATTTTTTGATCTGTGCGCCTTCAACATTTGGTTCGGAAAAAACTTTCTACAAGACGTTTTCTTTTCACAGCTGGAACCTGTCATTAAGGTTGTCATTCGCTGTCTTTACAACTGCTCGGAAGCGCTTTGCTGTCAAGGCGTGTGCCACATCAGATCCCTCCGTGGGGTTGCACAAAGTTTTCGTTTGTACTTCTTTTCTCGGGTTCCTACCGGTGCGTAAAACAAATTTTTTGATCTGTGCGCCTTCAACATTTGGCTCGGAAAAAACTTTCTGCAAGACGATTTCGTTTCACAGCTGGAACCTGTCATTAAGGTTGTCATTCGCTGACTTTACAACTGCTCAGAAGCGCTTTGCTGTCAAGGCGTGCGCCACATCAGATCCCTCCGTGGGGTTGCACAAAGTTTTCGTTTGTACTTCTTTTCTCGGGTTCCTACCGGTGCGTAAAACAAATTTTTTGATCTGTGCGCCTTCAACATTTGGCTCGGAAAAAACTTTCCGCAAGACGTTTTCGTTTCACAGCTGGAACCTGTCATTAAGGTTGTCATTCGCTGTCTTTACAACTGCTCGGAAGCGCTTTGCTGTCAAGGCGTGTGCCACATCAGATCCCTCCGTGGGGTTGCACAAAGTTTTCGTTTGTACTTCTTTTCTCGGGTTCCTACCGGTGCAAAAAACAAATTTTTTGATCTGTGCGGCTTCAACATTTGGTTCGGAAAAAACTTTCTACAAGACGTTTTCTTTTCACAGCTGGAACCTGTCATTAAGGTTGTCATTCGCTGTCTTTACAACTGCTCGGAAGCGCTTTGCTGTCAAGGCGTGTGCCACATCAGATCCCTCCGTGGGGTTGCACAAAGTTTTCGTTTGTACTTCTTTTCTCGGGTTCCTACCGGTGCGTAAAACAAATTTTTTGATCTGTGCGCCTTCAACATTTGGTTCGGAAAAAACTTTCTACAAGACGTCTTCGTTACACAGCTGGAACCTGTCATTAAGGTTGTCATTCGCTGTCTTTACAACTGCTCGGAAGCGCTTTGCTGTCAAGGCGTGTGCCACATCAGATCCCTCCGTGGGGTTGCACAAAGTTTTCGTTTGTACTTCTTTTCTCGGGTTCCTACCGGTGCGTAAAACAAATTTTTTGATCTGTGCGGCTTCAACATTTGGTTCGGAAAAAACTTTCTACAAGACGTTTTCTTTTCACAGCTGGAACCTGTCATTAAGGTTGTCATTCGCTGTCTTTACAACTGCTCGGAAGCGCTTTGCTGTCAAGGCGTGTGCCACATCAGATCCCTCCGTGGGGTTGCACAAAGTTTTCGTTTGTACTTCTTTTCTCGGGTTCCTACCGGTGCGTAAAACAAATTTTTTGATCTGTGCGCCTTCAACATTTGGTTCGGAAAAAACTTTCTACAAGACGTTTTCTTTTCACAGCTGGAACCTGTCATTAAGGTTGTCATTCGCTGTCTTTACAACTGCTCGGAAGCGCTTTGCTGTCAAGGCGTGTGCCACATCAGATCCCTCCGTGGGGTTGCACAAAGTTTTCGTTTGTACTTCTTTTCTCGGGTTCCTACCGGTGCGTAAAACAAATTTTTTGATCTGTGCGCCTTCAACATTTGGTTCGGAAAAAACTTTCTACAAGACGTTTTCTTTTCACAGCTGGAACCTGTCATTAAGGTTGTCATTCGCTGTCTTTACAACTGCTCGGAAGCGCTTTGCTGTCAAGGCGTGTGCCACATCAGATCCCTCCGTGCGGTTGCACAAAGTTTTCGTTTGTACTTCTTTTCTCGGGTTCCTACCGGTGCGTAAAACAAATTTTTTGATCTGTGCGGCTTCAACATTTGGTTCGGAAAAAACATTCTACAAGACGTTTTCTTTTCACAGCTGGAACCTGTCATTAAGGTTGTCATTCGCTGTCTTTACAACTGCTCGGAAGCGCTTTGCTGTCAAGGCGTGTGCCACATCAGATCCCTCCGTGGGGTTGCACAAAGTTTTCGTTTGTACTTCTTTTCTCGGGTTCCTACCGGTGCGTAAAACAAATTTTTTGATCTGTGCGCCTTCAACATTTGGTTCGGAAAAAACTTTCTACAAGACGTTTTCTTTTCACAGCTGGAACCTGTCATTAAGGTTGTCATTCGCTGTCTTTACAACTGCTCGGAAGCGCTTTGCTGTCAAGGCGTGTGCCACATCAGATCCCTCCGTGGGGTTGCACAAAGTTTTCGTTTGTACTTCTTTTCTCGGGTTCCTACCGGTGCGTAAAACAAATTTTTTGATCTGTGCGGCTTCAACATTTGGTTCGGAAAAAACTTTCTACAAGACGTTTTCGTTACACAGCTGGAACCTGTCATTAAGGTTGTCATTCGCTGTCTTTACAACTGCTCGGAAGCGCTTTGCTGTCAAGGCGTGTGCCACATCAGATCCCTCCGTGGGGTTGCACAAAGTTTTCGTTTGTACTTCTTTTCTCGGGTTCCTACCGGTGCGTAAAACAAATTTTTTGATCTGTGCGCCTTCAACATTTGG